GCGCAGCCGCCAGAGTTCTATTGGAATGGCATCCATAGTTTGCATAAACGTTGGCGTGAAGTGATAGAGGCCAATGGTGATTACATTCATGATTGAGATGATTTTGCTTTTAAATAAACTGGGTTGTAATAATTGTTCATGAAATTCCGAGAACTTTCTTTCCAATCAGATAAATAGCTTTTTTGTATAAAGTGGAAGTGATCTCTTTCTGCAATTATATACTTTTTCTCTGGGTAATGAAATTATAGTAATTTGATAGGGAATGAATTTGGCTGATATGTAGGCATTGAGTGGCATTGCTCTATCTACAGTTTTTTCCCTTTTTTGAGTAACATACTAGCCAGAGACTGAATAATAAAATGGCACTGAATAGTGAAGCTCATGTTCATCCATGTGAATTGTGGAAAATATAAGTGTTTTCTCACCAGCTAGACAGAGTTCTGCTGATACCCGACTTGCCACCCTAGGAGATATCAGGAGGATCAGATCAGTTTTGTATTTAACCAAGAGAAACTTTTAGAATACTTGGATTAAAACTGTGAAGCTGACTCACCCAGTACCAAGAGAATGTCCCCAAATAAATATAGGGGTTTCCCCAGCATGAGATGCAACCCAACGGTAGACAGCTTTTGCATCTGATACAACTCCATCCTCTGATGGCTGTTGCCATGTTGAATCAGCATAACCTAAGAGGACATTAGGAGAAGGATGAAATAAATATATGCTTTAACAAAGCAATCTTCCAGACACGAGAAGACCATCACCTCGGTAGTCAAAGGTGATGATATGATAGTCAAGTGCCCTCAGCACTTTATAGAGTTCAACACGGTGAGGCCCAGCACGTGAAGCTGTGTTGCCATGCATGTAGATGACAATTCGGTGGGATGACTGCAAGGATTCTATGTATTCATTCTCTGATTTGTCACCCTTTTCCACCATTGACAGTGGGAGAATATGCCTATGATCAAGGGAAGAATGTGACTTTTCCTGTCATTTCTTTTAGTTTCTCTTTTAAGTTTTATAAATCAAAAATCAATACTTTGAATTCTATTAGTTCTCTTACCAGACTCCAAGGCTAATGTTGTCTTCTGTCTGAAGGTAGAAGTTTCTTGTCCCATTGAGTTCTAGTCTTTCAGGCCTCCTGAAGTCGATGTTTCGTGGCCACCTCACTGTAGTAAGAGAGAAAAAATAAAGAGTGAATTCTTTTCTTCCACTTCCATCAAAGATTTGTGTACCACTGCAATGGCAGTAGCATTGTCAAAGCTATTCAACTCACCAAAAGGTAAGAAAATAAGATGAGTCTTGACACATTCACAATAGTGAAATAGCAGGGGAAGGAAGACATAGAGAAAGATGATAATCACAATGTAGCTCTTCAGAAGGACAAGACAAGCTCTGAAAGATCAGGAAAAACCCATCACAATATTATTCATGCAAATGAGTTTTGACAATGCACACTTTTTACCTGATAGATTTACTTTATAATCTAAGCACCCTGAAATGTCTTAAATAGGCCTCTAAAGAAGGTTCCAGGACAAATCTGCATGAAGGACATTAAAAAAAAGATGAAATGTCACCAGGCTTGAGTTAAAATTTTGCTTCCATGAAGAAACTTACACATTCCCTAAAATGAAAGGTACAGGGGCAGCAAAACATGTAGTGTACCGGAAGTAAATGCAGAAAGTATGCAAGTCAGGCCATGAGAGGGAATAACTACACAACTCACACGCCTTGAAGCCATAAGACAAATCCCAAGCCAAAGAAAGCAATACGTTTGATCATCTTCCACTGCCAAAGCCCAGAGTCATAACCATGCCTATACACAGTGATATGCTTCGGTTTGGGCTCATAACTTTTACCTATGGGATGACAAGATTTTCAAAATTCTATTTGATTGGTATAGATGGAGAACATTTGAAGTTATGTTTCTTCATAAATTGTTTCAATAATAAATTAAAGTCATTCTCTTCAACAGATTATTGACACTGGAGTTAGGCCTACCTAATTCGATCCTGAAAAAGAGCCAGTTTCTGCAATATATAATATAGAAGAAACTTGGCTTTTAGAGAAATATTAAGCACTAAAGTATGATCAAAGAATCAAAAAGGCATGGGGCTTGGATAAACAATTTTTTGCAATTATTTAGTCATGATATGCAATTGCTCTGGAGGTAATATAAACTAGGTCACTGCAGCTCAACCCACCTCTTCAGTAGCCATTTAGGCCTATTCCTGAATCTCAGACACCGTCTGCAGGAAGGGAGTTGAACACTAAGAGATCTAACGAAGTTTGACATGGAATCACTGCATGCCTATATCATGTGCCATTCATAAATGAGGTTGAATACATTTGTAACAAACTTTTTAGCTATTTCTATATTCCGCTGATCCGAAGCACAAAGACATCTGTGAAAGGTGATAAAAGAAGCACATTGGTTGAGATCATACAAGCCTAATATTACTTAAGAGGTAGAAACATGCCGCATAGACACCTTTCCTATGAGGTCGAGAGAAATTATTTCGGCCTACAGTAGACCTTGCCTACCGATTAAAACTGGGCATATCCTGCAACGGATTGACGAGGCCAAAAATGCCTAAAACAAAACAGAAAACAACAAATATAAAGCCTAGTTCGCATCACTCAATTGAGTTGTCGATCCTCATGCAGAAACACTTGACATGGAATTTCGAATTTTATTCGAATGGAGAGGAATGTCATTTTACAGATGAGTCGTAGCACAGAGCCCAGTCACCCTTGTGCAAGGGATTTACGGTTTGACGAAAAGCCACGGTGCCAGGGCTGGCGAAGGAAGGTCACGTGACTTTCAGCCAATGATGATGAACAAAGAAGGTAAAACATGGCCCCTCGCGTTCTATGTTCTCGTTCGCCCAGATAGTGTTTTGCATATGAAATCTTACCGCCTTTTAAATTTTAGAATGCTTTTTCCATGGCGCATTCAAGGAAGTAAGGATATATCTCCTATATTAGAAGTGACATTAGGCCTATGAAGTTCATTTAAAGGTGGTACAAATTAATTTGTAAAACACTAGTGATTCTCAAATGAATTCGCTGCTCCTTTAACATGAGCTCCCTGCCTACACCTTAGAAATTTGACGTTGCATAATAAGGAAGGTGGTACAAATTTATTTACATCATTGCTCATGGCTATTCATGTGATTCCTACCATTTTCTTTTGACTGATACTCATGCATGAGAAGTACTAAACACGGACGTCAGAGTGATTGAAAATGTCGGGCACAGGTAAGAATACTTAAGCTTTGGGGCTGGAGTATTTTCGTGTTGCTTTGGCTCGTGACTCGTGATGCATGCTAAGACTAGGTAGGCCTATTTCGCTTTTTTAGGCCACATCGTTCATTAGAGATGGATGGTCATATGAGCCCAATAGGTTACATGTAGTTATTGGCCAACGTGTTAGTCCTTGGTACATTCTGTAAGATATTGTTCAATGAATTCAGTCAGCATGACAGAAGTGCTTCTTTTGGGCCAGAAAGCATTGCAATTTTTTTACTTATCGGCATATCTCAATATGGAGAAAAAGAAGCAGCCTTTCTTGTGGTGGACACTCTATAGTGTTCACACTAGCTTTTTTTTTAATCTTGAGTTCTGGCGCCTAGCTTCTGCTCAGTGGGAACATGTTCAGGTGGTTATCAATGAATCCCATAGACTTAGATGTTTTGCAAATATGAGTCCCTCCAAGAAAATGAATAATGGACTCACTATAGCAAGGTAACTTGAACTCTGCTATATGATATCAAAATGTCAGGTACTCTTGTGTGCATGTAAAGACCCAATAGACTGCCATACCACAGAACTGATAACATTTTTGTTTCTTTAACTAGCTCAAGTCTTGTCCTCCATGCTTAAATATCTTGTAGAATGAAATTTTGCAAAAGTTACTTAGTGGCCTGAACATAATTTGTCTCCTAGCTCTGGTGATTTCTTAGCCCTGTAGCTGGCAAGTGTGTCAGCATTTTTCATTGTTAAGATCATGGACTTGGAAGTAAGTTCTTATAACCTAATAATGAATGGTGTAAATATATTCATCATCAGGTGATTGCATACAAGCCATACAATAAATAGTACAATGCTGAGGGTTAAGGTATAGTTCCTCCAAAAGTTATTCCAAAACAGAGATGATGGTAGTGTACATACATCAGGGAAGATCTTCAACTGTATAGATGTTAGTGCCATTTCTCTATAACGTTTTTGGCTGAACTATACAATATTAAATGAAGATGGGACCAGAAAAGGTTGGATTAAGGTAGCACTGTACCAATTAAACCACTTTCTAGGTATAAGGAGGGAACAATAATTCTAGTATCCCATTATGAAGTACAAACACTGAAACTTATATTTTAAACATAATTTGCATTAAATATGCTAATTAGCATCCTATGTGGGTGCCATTGTCAGGAGATTGATCCTATTCTCAAATACATTTCCCTGAAAACATGCCAATCAACTGGAACAAGATTTTCTGACATTATCCTATATATATGTGGGAGCAGTGCTTGATTGAATCTAAATTTTGCCACTTGCCATATAAAAATTAGTTATCATATTTTGAATTTCAAGATTTTTCCATATCTAATTATGTATTCATATAAATATATCTTCTGATAATTGAATTGCAAAAAGCCACCATCATTCACTAGATACATTTGTAAATGACCTATACTGGAAAAATCAGCAAGATACTCCAAAAATTAACTGAGTTGTCATGTTTGAAAGGTTGCCTGACAAGCAAAAAAAAAAAACAAGAAAAAGAGGTTCAAACATTACATTGCATGTTGACGAGAGCACAAAGGTGGATGGAAACTGGCTCCTACCTATACTGTTTGTAAGTGGAACTGTGGTTGGCTGATTTATGAACTATAGGCAGTTAGGGAATTTTTTGGATATCCTTTCTGAAAAAACAGCAAATAAAACAGGCCTTAACTAAGGCTCAAAGTCGTTGCTAGGGAGTGTGAGAAAGGCATTCATAAGTCTTTATAATTGACTGAATAGTCATAAGACAATTCAGTCTTGGATGTGAGTTGATGAAAACCAGTCACTTCTTGCACTTCTTGTGATACTCAGGAAGCAATAAGCATGCATCTCCCAAGACTGTTATACTGGGTGGAGCATAATTACATAGTAAATGTACAATACTGGAAATTATTGGTAAGTAAGAGTGATAAATATTATAATTGGTAGTTAAATCATGTTTCATTACAGGTAAATGGGAATAATTGATATGAGGAAGAACACCAAATCAACACCTTAGTTAAAATAAATGTTTGAATTGTTTCCCTTCCTGCCTCCATTGCATAAATTTACTTGGTAATTAAGTTCCACTTTGTATAGACTGTGAAGCACTGAATATGCCCTATTGTTCTGGCACATCTAAACCCAGGCCATGTTTGTGCACAGGCCATGTTCAGCCAAAAAAGTTATATAAACTCTGAGACATATTGGCATGACACAGTGCCATGAGAGCTTGTGTTCATTAGCTGTTATCTTTCCTCCATGGAAGAAATTGTATCTACACCTCATTTAATTTCAAAAATAAGGAACCCTGCTTGAGGAATCAACTTTTCAAAATAGTATTTTCCGTTATCATCATAGGCTTAAACATATGCAGAATTCCTACCTTCCCTGAACTTTTTCCTAGATCAGATTCCATTCAATTCAAATGTCAGAAGAGTATTTTAAGGAAAATAGTCTTTGGGCTGAAATTAATCAACCCTAATAATAACCCTTTAATGGTTGCTCTGAAGTTACAGAGACCTTGACCTCTGCTAAGTTTGCTGGCATATTCTCCAATCCTTCAACACTTTGAGCCCTGCATCAGGACTATAACTGACAATTTTCTCCTGGGACTGTATCAGTACCTAAATACTGACTCATTAATTTGATGCTAAACATCCATCAACTCATGCTAAATGCTAAAACTCATGCTAAAAGGAAATGCCTATAAGTGCTTCATCGCACGTTGACGCCATAGATGCCCGTTATGTACATTTTCAACCAGTATAATAAAAATGTTCCTGGGCCCGACCTGATCGGTACAGGGAAGTCATTGTTCAGTCAACCCTCAATATAATGCCACTGTTGGTCATCGCCAATTTGGGCACTGTAACAAGGGTGGCGTTACATCGGCTCAACCATATTCCTTATCTTGAGCATATGGAAAGGTTTCTCCACAGGAAGAGGGTAGCGCTATACAGGGTTTACTGGAAAATAAATGAGTAGCAGGCAAGCCATCTGGCAGTTACGAGGTTCCCACAGTCGTAGTGAGATGGCGTCCAAGTTGCTGTTATGGTTAGAGTAATCCCAGGTGACTGCTTTGACTTCTCGAGAACGAGTCTGCATCAACTTAAAGAGACAAAAAGGACGCACCTCCCTGTATTAGTGCTTCCTGGATAATGCCAAGAGATAATTCAACGGTTTTTCATTCAAATAAATGCCAAAAATGAGTCATAATGTATTATTAGTTCAAGGCTTATAACTCTTTTCAAGCAACACATTCATGAAAATTACGTTTATGCCACATTACCGCAACGTCATTTAGCTGAAGTCACGTTGCAGCAACGTTGCCTGGACGTCATGTGTTGCTTGGGGACCTCGTGCACTTATTGGGTGCCAGAGTTTTGGGTATACTCTTTTCTATCTTTCATTGTCGAGCAGTTTATAGCATGAAGGTGACTCTTAAAGGGGCTTCCATGCGTTTCATACTGTCTTAGTGCCATGCTGGTAGATTTTTGACGCAGAGCGCACCTGGAAGAACTCTTTGTACCCTGCCAAAATGTCAGATCGTGAAGGTTTTCCGTCATTTTTGCGATACTTCTGGAGAGTTTGAGATTCCCTCGGGAGATGTCT